AAACCAGAAATCCTTCAGCAATCAGTTTGAAACATTAATAAAGACAGAGGGAAACACATGAAACCATCTTTATGGAGTAGGGTAGTTAACAGAGAAGTAAGTTACTAGTGACACAGAGATGAGCCACTTGCCTATCAGCTCATGATGTATTCATCAAGCCATCTCAACTTAAGATATGCTCAGTAAACCTTTATCTTCTCAGAACTTTACCACCTATACAGTTTGTTTTGGCTGTTTTTTCAGCACCTCCTGATTTCCGAGGAGTTACAGAGAAGAATCTGCTCCAGTCAGTGACCTGGCTGTTTATATTGTAGCTAGAGGTCACCTCTATGCCTGAACAGAATCCTTATCAAGCTAAATGCTCTTTTTTCCCCAGGCATCAAGGTTTTGGCATGATAAGATAACCTGAGTTGAAAGTTCATATTGAGGAGGATGACATAATAGGCAGCATACAAGCAGGAAAAATAAGTTGTATCTATTGTTTTCCCATGACTAGAATCCCATTTTGTTTATGGACACTGGAAGTAACCAGCTCCACTCAGTGGTAAAAGTAGTGATGGCTCTTCTAACATTTAACCATAGCTACTAGAGTGTAAATCTAAGTTTACACACCAGGGTGAAAATTACTGTGGTCTCTATAGATTTCCACAGCAGATACAGGCTTACCCTGCAGTAAAACAAAGCAAATAATTAATAACCTAGAGCCAGCTCCTTCTGTTGGATTATATAAAAAGAATAATGAGAATTGCAACTACGATTAGTGGAAAGAGTATCTACCCACATTCTGATATTTACTCCTTGTTATTTAGGTGACTCTGAATGGAGGATTTGGCATAATCTCTGAGGCCCAGCAGTCTCCTTTGCATGGAAAGATGAGGGAATTGATTTTGGCCAATGCTGCTTAAAAATCACTGGCTGCCACATGGAAGCTGGGGACTATGATCAGGATGTGGAGCTGACACTCCACACCTATGTGTGCCACCCAAATTTTGGTTCTGTCCTTTAGCCAACCTGCTTTGAATTTTTAGCTAGAAGGTGAGGGAAGACAGGAATCACTCTAAGTAATATCAACCACTTGTACAGGGATAACATCTGCAGCTACAGAGCTTTTTACTCAAGACTCTCAGACATCACAATTTAAGGAATCCCCTTAAATCCTGGGAGCTGCATTAGGTAACTGGACAACTATTTGCAGTAAGATAAGCCTGGCACTCCTGATATTTGTGGTATTTCTTATGCAGGCAAAGACTGCAGATGTAGAGTTTACCTGTTTATCTCTGATTATATTTAGTAATCTTAAAAGATGGTGAAACTCAATGATAACAGTCACACTAAGAAACTATATTGTTACTAAAAGGTAAAATGTTTTGTGTTTATCTGATTGAGATGGAACAGCTCCAGCCCAAGCTTGTCTGTGACTGGAGTAGGATATATATTTACTTTCTGTTATAAGCCTTGTAGTGACCTGCAAACAAGAGTCAAAATATTATTCTCCTGCATGTGGGAGGTTAAGCTTTCTTCCCTGAGCACTGTGCAGGGTGTATGCAGCTCAGTAATGCTCATGCATTTTACATTGGTATCAGCAGGGTTTTGTTTCTCCACCATGCTCAAAACAGAGCTGAAATGGCACCTCTGGGTCAGAGAGAACCAAGGGCAGAGCCCAGGCTAGAAAGGAGGGATCTGCCTGGTCTAAGGGCATTGCAGAAGAAAACCTGAGGCAAAATGATCCCATAGGGACGTGTAAGGAGACCCAAATGCTGATCAAGGGAGGCTCTGACTAGTCCCTCAACTGGTCTGTGGAGGGCTGGGGTCATTTCCATGAGCTTAAGATGTGACTACATATCTCACAGGTATGATATTTAGTTTGCTGAAACATGTGTTAACTACTTACCTACCAGCTTCTATCCAAAACCTTATAAATTATAAGATGATCCTTTTGGGTCCCTTCCAAGTCAGAATATTCTGTGGTTCCATGATTCCGTGGTATTATCTGATGTGGTTTATTTTCAAAGCCTTTTACTAATATGAACTAAATCAGAGTAAATCAGATGAAATTCCTCTATGCAGCATAGTAATAAAAACAGTAAAAGAGCAGAATCTTAATTTGGTCTGTCAAACTTTCATGATTGGATTTATCCAAGGTAAGGACTGGGTGACAGTCTTGGTTCCAGAGTGAAGCTTGCACATGCACGCAGAAGTGTGTGTACAACCGATATACTCACACAGATGTGTATACACACATGAATCTTGCCTTGTGTGTGTGACTGTGTGTCTGTGAGCACACATCTATAGAGAGAAAAGGAAAGAGACTGGGTACATATGAGCAAATAATTCAGTTCTCCTAAGATCCAAAATATCCTCTGGATGTGTTTGCCACTCTTTGCTAAGTACTGAGAAAATCTAGGGGGGCTGAAAAAAGGCTATTTTTAGTCATATATTTCCTAGCTTGTGCTACTGATTCTGAGGTAATTTACTACACTGAAAGGTGTTTGAGATTTAATTAACTTGGCTTTTAATTCTGATTGTTTGCTTTGTTCTTTCTTCCACTGTGGGCAGGGAAAATGAGCTCTGTACTTTCACCTTTATTACCAATCAGTGCCCAATCACTTCCACTTTTGCATTCAAGTTCAATTCTGCCTTTAAAACTTATTGTTTAACATATTTCTGGTCTTAGTCTGGGGGATCTACTAGTCTGAGGTCCATGCAGAACACTTCATAATTTCTACATAAAAATGGTTCTCAGTGCTGCAAGGCTGAGCCAAACAAGTGAATTCACACCACCCAAGCCTTTTTTCAACTCCAGCCAGTCCAGACTCGTTTTTGCATACTTTGGCAAGCCCCAAAAGCATAAGATGGTTTGTCTTTCCACAATAGGCACAGTGACACTGAGTACACAACAGGACACCTTCTCAATCTCCTTTCTGCTTCATGAACTGTTGACATTTTAACCTCTTTATTTAAAGCCTTCATCTGAGATGACTGCTTCTTCAAGAAGGAGGAACATTTGTCCATTTTTGACAAAGTCTGTCGTTATTTAATACTGAAAAATTGTATTGATAAAACATTGCTTAAATCAATGGCAGTATCTACCTGTTGATAAAACTGTTGCAGAAGTACATCTTAAAAGAACAGGAGAAACGTAAGTGCATTTAGTGACCATTTGACACATGAGAACAAGGGTGTTTAATTCCCCCCTTTCCTAGTCTCAGGGCAGAATCAGTCACAGGAAGGGCAGTGCAGGAGGCTGAAGAAAAAATTTAACTCTCTTGTTCCTTATTCCTAGCACTCAGCTTGTTATTCAGAACCTGCTATGTTGGTGAGAATACCTATTGATGAGTGTTTCAGTTTTGTGGAGTTTTAGCCAGGTAAATTTTGTTAACTTGTATAACTGTTAATGTTTAACTGAAAATGTCCATTTTCTTCCAAATCTGAGTGTTGGAATCACTCCTTGATCTCACATCAACTTTCTGTGTACAAATGGCACAATGCTGCTCACATTATCCATGACAACACTTCCATGCAGCCACTGGACAAGACTGAGCCTTCCTCAAGCCAAAATCTTAGTTCTGTGTACAGATCTGCATCACTTTTGGCCCCATTCCACTTTCTAATTTGCAGATGATCCTTCTGCAAGAAACTTGAAAGCAGAAAACCTTAATTTCAAGATTGTACTGGATTTAGTTCACATCAATATAAGAACTTTGACTCAGAGAGATTAGATACTGGGCACTGCTATTAATAAATAATACCTTCCACATGCCCTTTCCTTGTAGATGTGGCTTCCATTTAGCCTGTCTTTGGCTATGCTGTATTTTTGTTTCTCCACCAGAGATACCGAAGTGTACGTTACTGCCTGAACAGAAATCACTCTCAGCATTGCTTGAAACAGCCTCTGCTTGCTAAGTAAACAGTTTGTATTAGTTATCACCAGCCAAAAATGATAACAGACTTTTGAAAACTTACCTAAAGAAAAAAATGGCTGCTTGAGATCAAAGTCCAGATCACGAGCTTCATTCATTTTGCTTTTATATACCAGGAATAATGACTCATATTCTCTATCTCTGTTTCTTTTCATGCACCACAGTAGGATGTCTCATTTGCAGACAAAAGAGAATAAAGACCAATGGCAAATTAAATTCTTCAAATTCAGTTTCTCTGCCCTTTCCTTAAATTTCCAAAACATTTTTGGTAACATAACACTTTAAAATCTACAATATATATTTTTCCCCATTAGTAGGTGGGCTTCTTTATTAAGTCACAAAACACTAACTGCAGTATCCTATAATAATGGTCTTAAGTGTGGCAGTAAATTGGCAGGAAATTACTGTAATTTCCCTTCTTGAAAAAAACAGGCAAAACCATCCACAAATTCAAAACATGTTTGTGTGAAAATACCCAAAATATTTTTTTTTTTCTGTTTAAGATCTCTATTTCCCACTCTAACATTACACACCACTTATTTGCACTACACATCTTGTTTTTCAGAAGCTATATATAACGCTATAGCTTAAAAATATGAACCAAAAGTTTTGTACAAAATTATGAAATTTTCTCTAGAATTACATTTCATGATACAATGTAATCAATCACCCAATTTTCATCTTTCAAAACTTTCATCATTCCAGCCTGCCACGTTAGCCTGCAGGAAATACACAGGACATCAGCAGAGCTGGCAGGCTCTCGGGGCCGTGTTTCCCCAGTTTGCTCAGTTTGCAGTGTTCACATTGCTTTAACCTTCCTACTTTTGCACAAGTGCATGAGGGATTTGAAGCCTTTCACACCCTCCACAATCACATATTGTCAACCCACTGAAGTCTTTGCCTCTCTGCTAACCAAGCTAATGGAAGCGGAAAGGTAGAACGAGAAGTGTGCGAACGAGCCCTCTGCTCAGGTCTGAACGCCAGGACAGAGGAAAATAGCTCGCCTTGGGAAGAGTTAATCCAGCCTAGCCCAGCCTAGCCCAGCCTAGCCCGGCCTAGCCCGGCCTAGCCCGGCCTAGCCCAGCCTAGCCCAGCCTAGCTTCGTCATGGTGACTTCCCTTGCAGCACTGCAAAGTGTGACACCGCTGTTTGTTTAGGGCTGTGTCCAAAAGCACAGTCCCACCCTGGCAGCAGTGACAGCTTTCCCCCAGTGCCAGCTCTCTGTGCAGTCCCCAGGGAACAACAGGGACAGAATCCCCTGGTGAGGCAGAGCTGGAGCAACAGCAAACACCGAGACGAGTTTCTATCACTTAATCGTTCCTTTTCAGACTCTTGATTCAGAAGCATTTTTTGGGGTGTAGGCTTGCAAAGAAGCAGGAATTTCCGCAGTGTCAGATTGTTCTTTCAAGTGCACTTCCCTCCCCAGGTTCACGAATTTCCTGTCAGCTCGGGGCTTACTTAGCTCTAAAACATGTTTTGCTGTAACAAAGTGGAAAACCTGAATTTGTCAAAAATTAAGTGCTTCCAGGCGCACATTTTTAAGTAAGGCCTCTATTCTGTCATGGCTCTGCTAGTGCAATTTATCTTTATGTGCACGTTTCAGTGTTTGCAGAGACGTATTCTGTGTCTACAAGTGGCCTGTTTTTCAAAGGCATGCTGTGGAGACAAAGGTTGAAACCCAAATCACTTCACAGCAGTCTGCAAGTCTGCCTCTCTCTTCAGGAGCTATAAATGTGTCTAAGCAAAAAGCAACAGTTCTCCCATCTGTAAATAATGGGCTTGGCTGAAATAGCTCAAATACCTGAAAAAATCCTTGTTTAAAATGGAGAAGGAAATTCTGGTTCTGGGCAGTAGCCTGGAATACTTTGGGGCTGGATTAGTATGCAGGAAGTAAAGAAATGAAAAGGCAAAGGGTGGTTTAAAAATGTCATTGCACAAACATGCATGCATATTCTCTCAGGCCCTGCTTGGTGGTTCAGTAATGCAGCAGGCAATGATAATGATACAATTTCATAGCTCCTCTAATCCCAGAGGATGCACAAAATGCTTGACAAACTGATGTTCTTTATATGCAATAGCCTGGGCCTTTGCTTCTCATCTGCAGAGGAGTGGAAAAGATTACAGTACAAATATAGCAAAATCTGGTAAACTCAGAAGTAAGGGGAAGCAAAATATATTCCATTCAATGAATATGCTAAAATTTGTATAATAAAATACATTCAGACAACTTTACACTTAATTAGCAGACAAGCTAGAATTGTTCCATTTTGGTTTTGGGAAAGCATGGTGGTAATAGAAAACAAAAATCACCTAGAAGACACATAGGCCATTTCTATGTCTAAATCTCTGATTCAGAAGAGAATATGGAGGGCTGTGATCTCATAACATGGCAGAGAAAGAAAGATCCAGCCCTGGTAAACTTTATTTATGAAATTTGTCATTTCCCCTACTGTTGTCTTTGCTTTCTGCAGTTTGCTTGTAAGTTTACATTTGCTTCTAAGTAGATTTTATTTAATTAAATGGGATCCTATTAAAATCATGTAAAATTTCTCCTGAGGAAAGAATCACCACATGTGAGCAATAGGTTTTATTTGGGTGGGAATGTGAGGTTCAGCAAATTAGGTGTTGTTTCTCATTGAAGCCTTTAAAGACAGGCTGCCTTTAAAGGTTTCTCATTTGGATGATGGGATCAATCTAAAAGTAGTCTGTCATTTTTCATAGATAGGGAACCCTGTCAGACCAGATGCATCATTTGCCTGACTAACATCAGGCTCACAAAATGCTATCCTGCAACACAAATGACCAAATTTAGTGAGTCTCTTGATTTGTATTAGAAAAATCTTAGTGGAATGTAAAGTTACATTCTACCAGGCCAAAAGTAGTGTTCATAAGCTTAATACATTGATATACCTCAGCTACTGGTAAACAATAAATAGTTATTTATCAGGACATCAAAATCTTCCAGAGAACTTCTTTCAAGTCTTTACAGTCTCTGGAGCAAAGCAGTCCAAAAGTCCAAGAACATCTTGTGCTTTGAAGATCTTGACACAGACAACACATTTGCTTTGCAATGTTATCATCTGTTGTTTCTGTGTGGCATATTTAGGCAAGTATCTTCAAAAGGTGTTTGTAATCTCAGTGACAATTTCTTGTGAGAAAAGAAAAAAGAACTCTTACCATGTTTTTATGGTCACCTTAACCACAGTCTATGCCAGGAATGTGAAGCAGCAGCTAAAGAGCATCGGGTATTTCACACAGGAAGAGTGCAGGGGTGGGATGCTGGCACAGATCCCACGCCCAGGGAATGGTGTCTGTGCAGAGAGCCTGGAAGACTGTGAGGCTGAGAGTGCTCAGCTGAGCAGTGAACAGTGCTGGTGCCTGTGCTGGGTGGGGATTCCTCACCTAACCCTCTCCCAGAAGGAGAGCTGGTATCCCAGGTAGAACACACACACAGCTCATTAGCTGCTTAGGCTCACACCCCTAAGAAACCAGGCTAAAAATATTCATCCTGGGACCACCTGTGGCAGCTGCAATGTCATTTATTATTCAAGGTCTATCAAGCTAGATGGGGTGAAGGGACAGATGCTGTGGGCATCCTCAGGACTGACAGACTGTTCATCAGTGTTATGAATTTATATGTCTCCTACAGGTTCTGCCATCAGCTGAGCTCCTGGTTAAATGGGTCAGGCAAGGAAGTACATTCCCTAAAGGAATTGCAGTCTCCTATGCCTCAAAAACTTCAGTCACAGAGGAAATATCCTATTTTGATGTGGTTCAAGAAGGTGGCAGGGAGAGAAGTATAAACTTTATAGCAAGACCAGCTTGACTCAGAAGAGGGACTGTGTGCTACATATTCAAGATTCTGGGGTGAAAAAACCCTAGAGAACAGCAAAGAAACATTCTCAGTCTACATGAAGAAATTGTTAGAAGTGTATAGAGTGAGACATTCTGATAATCTTTGTATTATGTGAAGAATGATTCTTTTTATAATGCCTTTATTTCCGCAACAATGCTACTGTTCCAATAGCTCTGTCAGAGCTACTGAGTGATGAGTTAACCCTGCTGCTGCCCTAAGAGAGAAGTGGAAGCTGCAGAGCAAAAGCAAAGAGGGTGGATAGATCTTTTCAAGCTGGAGAAACCATCAGCTTAGTAGAGAGGAAGTGACTGAAAAAAGAGGGTAAGAGAGACCTAATAACAATTCCCTGAGGAAAACTGCTGGTCAGAACAATTAGCTATGACTCTAGGAAAAGCCACAACTGAACAGAGAACAGAGGATTTCTTTTAATTTGGTATCCAGGAGCACTTTGGATGGAAACTAAAAGAATATTTTCCCTTCCTAAGCGGATCCTTAAAAGAAGGTGGCCAGGGCTGCCTCCCAGCTCCAGCTCTTCACTCTTCATTATGGCACTTTATGGGATAACTGGGACAGCAAGTATGTTGCAGTCATTATGCCAGTCACAGCTATGGTCTGCAAATGTGACTGCATGGAATATCTGGCTTCTAACACAGGCTGTGAAGGGATGTCCCTTTTTACCACGGTCAGGGAGGAGCTGACAGGCTCACCAGAGACTTCAAAAAACCTCAGCCTTTCAGTTAGCAAGGAGCTCCGTGCTGTCATGTACTCATTTTTCACATGGGGAATGCCATGCAATATTGCACAGAGCAGTTATAAGGCATTAGCTGCCATCTCATTTATAAAAAAAAAAAAAAAGCTTTTCTCTGCTGCAGTTAACCAGTGATCAGCTATGCACAATACATGCTTGATCATGTCTCAGTGGAAAGTCTTTTTTTTTCATTTTGCTGTGTTATATATTTAGCTTGTGGGAGGCCAGGCCAGTTAACAGCGTAATGTACTTTAAAAATGAATGTGATTACTAGTATTTTTCTCCATTAAAATCAGCAGAGAAGTTTACTTAATTCTTTGTCCTTTAATCAGAGCAGTAAAGAATTTCAGCAATCTGTAAATCTGGCCATATAGAGTTACAATATAAGGGAAATTCACAATAGTGCCATTTTTCTTTGAAACTGCTTTATCTCAGTGAAAGATATTTAAGCAAACCCGTCACAACACACACTGCTGTACAATTGACTGATGTTCCTGCTAGAAATTCTTGCCACAGGTTTTGCAGCAGAGGGTAAGGGCAGAACACAATCGTGTTGAAAAGCTGGTGCTGGTGGCTTTAAAAATCACTGCTCTTTTTTTAAAACCCCAACTTGAGTCTTTACTAGGCTGTACCATGAGACACATACACGCTGTGTTACATTAAAATGTTTAATTAGAAATATGAGTTATGCTTTGCATAGTAACAAGAAGCCATCATAAAATAATGTATACTCTGATAGTCTCAGACTATCACAGCAGTCATGCATAAGTTCAAATCCTTTTCAGTGGGACATTGATTAATTCATCCTTTGATGAATCTAGGCCCAGGCATTCAGCAGCTTCTTCCCTTTCTCAGCATGGGTTTAGTTATGTGAAGCCAGAAATGGCCTTTGTATGTTTAGACTTTGAGAGCACATTCAGCTGGAATCCTGCCTCACACCTAGGGCTAGACCTCTGCAATAATGCAACTCTGCTTGTTCCAGCTCTGAACAAAGACAAGCAGGGCTATGGAGTTATGTTACTCACTACAAGTTGAGGAATCAGCTTTCCATGTGGCTTTATCCTCCCACCCCTTTTCCCACAGGAATAACACAATGTGAGTTAAGCTTGTGCCTTTGCCATTATCTTGCTTTAGTGGCTCAGTTCCAACACACAGCCATGTACCACCTCATTATTTATATCCTGCTAGCATCTTATTTAGTACCTCAGCTTCCATCATAAATGTACTGGGATAACTGGATAAGAGACTCATTATAATTGCAGCTTCTCTGCAGGGGTCAGCACCTCCTCCCCATGAATATGATAAGCTCCAAGTGCCACCTCACCTGCAAATGGTGTTTTTCCCTGAAGACCCACTTTGCACAGGCTACAAGCTGCTATTGAATTTCTGAAGTGATATTTTAATAACTTAATTTATGATTTAACAGCTTTCTTTCGTGTGCTTTGTTGTATAATTAATCCATGTGATGGGAACTCATTAGACTTGGGGATCTGAGATGCATCTGAACACGCAAGGACTGTAAACAGCCATAAAACCTGTGTTAGGGCCTATTTAAGGTGGGCAAATGCAGAGCTGTGTGCAGAAAAAATAAATTATTTTATCCTTGGGGGTAATGAGAAACTATTTTTTGATAGTTGGATGTGTCTTTCAATCATATCTGAAGTTTGTTATAATAGTAGTGAAAGCAACTAATTTTTGTCCACTGACATTTAAAGTGGAATCCTTGACTTCCTGGGCTGAGAAGATCTGGCCCAACATTTCTAAACACAATCTTACATGCATGTGTGCATGCCCAGGAGCTGTGGGCACTTCCACCTCCTGGAAATATACCTCAAGCAGATACTACAGACACTTTGAGCCTGACATTGAACAATCCACCATGAGATTTTGTCTCTTTTGCTTGCTTAGTGCTGTGCTGCTGTGTTTATGACATGGAAGAGATGAGACCTGTCACTGCCATCCTGAATTGCTGCAAGAACTGAAGCCTTGGTGTCCCACTTCTCCAGAGAACTCTGTAACTTCAAGACTTCCATGAGGTTTCTTGTTTCCTGCTGGTAGTGCTATTCTGCTTTGATATGAACCAGAGAGCACAAATGGGTCTGGCCCTAAGCACTGGTTAGAGCATTTGCTCAAGTTTAATGTCCAAGACCACGCTCTGGATTAGGCAGAGCAGAGGTTTGAAATCCCTTTCCAGGAAAACACAGCTGAGTGAGCTGCCCATTTACCTGTAAACATGGGTGTGGGTATCTCATTTCTTCACTTTGCAGTGAGAGCTGCAGAACCCAGCTCCAGGGGACAGGCAGTAGCATGGCTAAGTGCGCACACCAGTCTGCCCCACTACTGAGTATTTCCCTCTTCTGCACATCCCTTTCAAGGGTGCGCTGCTTTCTTGACAAGCTGAGGAACAAAAGCATGGAAAACACAAAGACAAAACAACAGCATGAAGGGAGTAACACCTGTGGGCATCTGGGATATGTTCCTCACTGTGTGCAGTGCTGAGCTTCCCAGCAGAGCATCTTTTCCCCACTGGACATGAGCAACAGCTCTAATGAAAGCTTTGCAAAGGAGAGTGCTGCCAGCTGCAGCTGGGAGCTGGATCATTTGTGTGCAGAGACCTGTTTTCCACAGACAGGATTTACATAAGCACTGCACACAGTGTTTCTGTGCTGTCAGGGTGCCTCGATCCTTTTCTCTCTCGAGGCTTGTCTTCCTCTGTACAATTTTTGTGGTGAGCCAGGTACACTTGTGTACCTGTTTTGCTCAATTAAACCTGTTTCATGGATGTGAGTCATCTATTTCATGGTCCAGAACATACTCATTTCATTTCCTCTGCCCTCTGGTGATTGAGTTAATTAATATTTTGCAAACACCTTGAGACCTCATTGAACTTACTACTGTACAAAGTGCAGGGCTTGTCCCAGGATGATTCTTCTGAATAGGACAGGAAGGAAGAAGCTCAGGAGAAAGGAGAACTTAGAGAACATAGACATTTATATGGTACTCAATTCTTAACAGTCCCAGTCCATTTTTGCTGACTGATTAAATAAAAGGAACATATTCTGGTTTTGACACAGGGACTGACCACAATTCTCAGTGACCTGGGGTAAGACAAATGTGCCTCACTGATCATTTGACATGGGTTTTTAGCAAGCTGCAGACCCTTCCAACAAGATCTGCCAGATCTTCCTGACCAAAGGGTGCTTTCATTGTGGAGTTCATTTCCACTGGACTTTGGATCTGGTCTTTGGGAGAGACCTATGTGGTGCCTGGCCCTGGCACACAGCCAGCAGCGTGTTGTGGCTGACAGGGGCAGTCACTTGCCCAGAAGAGGCCAGGAACTCATTGCTCAGCAATGGTGGTGATGTGCCACTGGCATCCAAGAAGGGAGCACCTGCAGAGAGACCCCAAAGAGGTTTGGAGGAGAAGGAGGGCAAGAGGGGCTGCAGGCCCAGAGCAGAGGTCCCCCTCAGGCAGCACCTCAGCTGGAGCAGAGACACTCCTGTAGCCCAGGGAAGGGCCTGTGCCAAGACAGGGAGAAGGGGAAGGAGGGAGGAGTGGACAGGGGAGGCTTGGAGGAACCCACCACAGACCACTCCACCCCTATGCCCCTTAGTGTGATTGGGGAAAAGGGAGGAAAGGCTTGGTTTTTTCATTTCTTACCATTCAAACCTATTTTAATTGACAATACATGTAATTTTCCCCATTATATGTCTGGTTTGCCTGTGACAGTCATGGGTCACTGATGTCCCTGTCTTAATCACAACCCATGAGTTTTTCCATCTTCTCTTGCTCAGTAAGAGTGAGAGAGCAACTGGAGGGTTGGGGCTCTTGCCACAGGGAGGACCCAGCTGTGCAATCTCAGGCTGCAGGTGCTCCTGGGGCTCCTTTTCTGCAGGTCTGTGCTGATGAAGCACCTCTGTGGCCAAGGGAAGGAGCTGCAGCAGGAGGTCAGCTTGCTGTGGAGACACACAGATGAAGAAAAGGAGGCTGACTGGATGCTCTTCTGGATACAAGGGAAGCCCGACCCTCCAGCTGAAGGAGGGACAGGCAGTCTCTGCTTATTGGATTGTAAAACAGAGAATGGTCCATTCTGCGTGCAAGAAGCCAAGTAAAGGTGTCATGGATGATCAAGGGGTGTTGCCGCCTGTTAGTTTACCTTCATTAAGTATGTTGTTCACCTTCGTTGAGTTTAGAGTTGGTTTGCCCCAGTTACTCCCCACTATCCCGATATAGTTTGTTCCCAGGTGCCTGTCATTGTAAACCTCTCCCCTCTTTCCAGATTGTTCCCCATCCATCACTTTGGTCCTACCCCCAAGCCTTATCAATCTATGTACACCACACCTTTTGTTCTGGTTCCTTCCCTGCTCATCATCCCTTACTCGATGCCCTATTTGTTGTATGGCTATCCTCCCTCCCCCAAGTCCCTACCATTGGATTTGTGTATTGTAACCCCTTCCCACAACACCTCCCCTGCTGCCATATTATTGGTTGTTGTATGAGCCGCCCACGGGCTTTAAAATCTGGCGCACAGAGGTGCCCAGGGTCTCGGCTCGGACTTTCTCCTCGAGATCCCAGCCCTGTCCCTCATCGCCTTCTCCCTGCACCTGCTGGAATAAACTTGTTCCTGGGAAATTGGAGGACTCCAAGCACTCTCTCTCCCTTTACTGCACCTCGTGTCGCCCTGCATACTATAGAGCCCGAGCCCAAAGGAGCTCTAGAGGTTCCAGGTCGAGCCACACAGTGCTCACCTGGTTCCCCGCTCCTGCCGCTGACGCTTGGCACGAGCTAGCCGGGGCGTGAAGGGCCGAGCGGGCAGCGACAGCGGGGTCCTTGACAAAACTCAAATACAAAAAGCCTTCACCACATAAGTGGTGAAAGTCTGCCTTGAGAAGGACTCAGTCTCCATAATTGGAGTTACGAAATATAGGACTGGATTCTGTCCTGAGGAACCTGCATGTGTCTTGAGCAAATGGGTAGAGGACCTAGAGGATCTCCAGAGGCCCCTTCCACTGCTATGGATTTGCCATGATTATGCAAGTCTGCTGTTCCCTGTCCCCTTCCTTTCCCCTCTAGCCCTTGGGCACCTTGCCCTTGGCTACAGGCACTGCCTCCTGCCACAGAGTAGAGCTCTTTGGAAAAAAGCACAAAGCAATCACTCTCAAATTGAAGCTTGGGCATCTTCCTTTACAGTGACAATGGAGGCATTAGTGGTGGGCAGTAGGATTTTATACGAGATCCTAGAGACCTGAGCAGAATTTCAGGACAGATGAAGACTGAAAACTGATTTCCTCTTCTGCCTAGGGATGATGGGGATTAAAACTTCCCATCACTTCCAGATTTTTGTGGGGTGAGGATTTTCATGGGTGTTGTACTGGAAGCGATCCACAGTGCATTGAAGAGGGAACTGAAGAGAAAAGCTCTCTGTGTAAGTCCAGTGGCCCAGAGCAACCAGCCAGGAGTTCAGAGACCTCATCACAATCCATGTCCCTCTACATGCATTTTATATTACCCAATTTCTAGCTCAGGTGCATTCTGACATAAAAGGGCAATGCAAATGTCCTTTTCAAGATATTTCTTTTTTGATATCTGATGTCACATACATTCTGGAAGCAGCCACAGTGAAGGAGACCCAGAAAGCAGGATCTCTCTCCCTATGGGCACAGGCTGTGAGAACTCACTGACTGCTTTGCTTTAGGTACCTGGAGAAAGTTCAGGGTAAGAAAAAAGGCCCAGAACCTCAAGAAAACACTATGGGGACTAAATAAACACACATGCACAAACAAAACAGGTCAAGCTATGAAACTTCAGAGTTCAGTGGCCTCCAGTGCTAGGTGATAACTGAGCAGGGATTTTCACAAATTGATCCAGTCATCCAAATCACATTTCTGGTTCTTCATGTTTTTGAATCTAGTATCAGACACCTGAAAATTCAGGCACTCTTGTAGTCACATAGAGCACAGCTGGGTGCCTCACACATCTTGTTCAAAGCCACCTAAGTCCATACCAGAGCTACAAATTCAATGTTATGGTAGATTCACACCTGCAGCCTTGAGCCTTGAAAGCTGCTGTCTCTGATATAAAAATTTGTCTCACTTTCTCACACCTATAAGACAGCTGTCACAGACAGCTGCCATCCACAGAAAAGCTAAAGCTCCACCAATATTTTCAGCAGAAGTCTCATCTTGTTACAGCTAGATTTCCTCAGGATGGTATCACTCAAAGTCTTGCTGGAGCTGACTCAGTCCTTTTGTGTGAGATCCAAATAGCTCCTTGTGGTCAGGATCTTGAGGACAAGTACAGTTTGTTGGTTGTATCATTGTTTTTGCCATTGTGAATATGCATCTAGTGGAAGGCTTTAATGAATTAAGAATGGTTACCCTATGGGTGTAATACTTCACCACAACACATAACCCTTGGCACCTTGATTAAGAAATGGCCTAATCCTGGTGTGGGTAGAACAATAATCCCACACCAGCCATGGAGCTGCCACAAGACAAAACACACAAACTGAACAGTTGTACAGATTTCCCCAAAAACTCCCTGTGAGTTCTGTTCTCTCATTTCTCCCTCTAGCAGACACTACATCTGTTCCTTTAGCGGTTGCTGGCAGACAAGACAAGCCCCAGTGCCAGCTAATACTATATGATCTGCTGCTGAATTAATTTTCCACTTAAAAATTAAATTATGGGCCAGATCCTCATTGGATTTAATACAGCTGACACCTATTAGGCATCTGATGGCCTGGTCTTGTATAGAGATTATTCTTCCTCTCTCTTTGTAGCAAGAACACAACCAAAGGGTTAGATTTTGATCTGATGTGTGAAGGCAGTGAAAATATTGTTTTGTGTCTAATGCATCCATCATGAGAAATTACAACTTTTTCCAAAAAGCTGGAGAAAAACATGCCATTCAAAAAAACAAGGAAAAGAAAAGAAGGTTGTAAAAGATACTATAAATCTTTTATTTCTTTTGAGTTACTATGCAATGCCCTTCATTTTGAAGGAAATGGTACAATCAATGATGTGTACTTCTTTCTCAGGAAAAGAAGATATTAGCACTAACAATTCAACATTTACTGACAAAAGACAGCTTACAGAAAATGCTCATGGTGGACAAAAAATCATATTTGTGATTACACTTCTTATTTTGGATGATTTCATGAAGTGTTACAATGTCAGGAATTTCAAGTGTGCATTTAAAGAAAGCTTCTAATCCAGTATTAATGCAAAGGAATTTAAACCATCTAAACCACTGGTGTTCAAAATCACCCTGATTTCTTCCTATTCACAGTTAAAGAAAAAGCCTAATCTGAAAGTCTAAGCCCATGATACAATACTCCTGGCCTTATCACTGCACACCAATTTTTAAGAGTAGTCAAGCATACTCAATTAACAGTAGATTTCTTACAAATAGAAACTGCTGTTGGAAACAATGTATTTCCTACCTCTACTTAGTTACTAGTCTCTGATCTCTTATACAAAATTAAAATTTTGCTTTCAAAAAATATTTGTTCCTACATGGCTGTTAGCTTTATGGTTGGTGCTGTTAATTGTCAGAAAAGCACAGGTGGGAAACCACTCGATAACACACTTCACATACCCAAGGACAGACCTTTGGTAAAACTTAACCAAAGGAGAAGAGAAAAACACCATTATATTCAAAATCTGAAACAGATTAATCATACAATATCACCTATTATAGTACTGAGTGGGATAGTGAAATCAAATGAACAAAAGGAGTTTGCCTATGGTTTCATTATACAAAACAATTTAAAGTTTACTTCCATAGTCTATGGTCCTTCAGTCTGAAGAACATATTTTTCCAAGTAAGAAAATACAGTTTTTGAAGTAGCTTTTGGGAATTTTCCCTGCCTACTCTGCAGCTGCCTACCACATTGGCCAGAGGAGTTCTAGAGTTGCTGTAATCAATACCTTGCATTCACACGGAATCAGGGATAACAAAATAGTCTTCAGTTTATGCCTTTGTTCACTGCCATGGAAGGTGAATGTCTAAATTATGTTTTTAAAATTACTCAATCAACAGATAATTGTAGGTTTCACTACAACGCCTTTTCCAAGGCATTATTTGCATCCAACACACCAATACTCCAGGGAAATAAGACTGCTCATCTGCATTTCCTAGCTGGAGCTACATTTACACATCTGGGGCTCAGCCTTGCCAGCCTTCACATGTGCATACTGATATTAACAGCAGTAGATAAGCCCAAATGAGTAAATTCATATAGATTAAGTGTTTGCACAATCAAAGGGCTTTTAAAACAAATTACATTAACTTTAAATGTTAAAAATGCAAGGGAAAGTTCAAGCATGACAAGATAAAGATTCCAGAGAAGTCTGCAGCAGATCACCAGCTTAGCTTACAACTGCTGTGTAACACACCTCTCACCAAATCAGTGCAGCTCCTGGATTTCCAGGGGGAAACTGAGGCCAAAGTTTGGGCTGGGTTCCACAAGCTCTGTTTGGACAAGAGGCCCTTTGAGAAACAGTTTTCACTGCACTACTTGTTCTCCCCTGTTGATTATGCAACCTCAGATCCTCCACGCTCCCACCAGAGACATCACATTGAAATTCCAGACCCTCATTCATAAAGAAATGCAAATATACACTTAATTTCAAGCACAAGAATAGGCTTACTGATTCTCAAGTGGCCTCAAGTAGGTAAGGTCTACTCAAAACTTTAAACTCAATATAGGCTTAAGACCTTTGCTGAAGCACAAGCTCTGCTGAAGGATCACACCTGCATTTCTCTACGTTAAAGCAGATGCAGAGAAGAGCACTTTATCTATTCCCTCCCCCTCTCTTTTGTGATCTATGTGAAAGTCCTGAAGTAGACACATACACATGTGTCAGTTTTCCTGGGAGATTTTTTTTTTTTTTTAAATCAAGCTCCAGAAACCCCAGCTTACTCTGCAGACAGTAACTGAACAAAATACAGCAAAGACAAGAAATCAAGCACTTGAGATGTGCTTCTCAATGAATGAGCAATTTCTGTTCTCACATCCAGGTCATTACAGGTCCATGGCTTTAAAACCAGACTGCTTAGAAATGTGTGCAGTGGTGTTTAGTAGCACCTATTAAATAACACTGCCTAATCAACAGGTAGAGGAAAAGGACCTGCCTGTTAAAGATTCAACAGTTGCATCTTTATCTGTTAGAATAAGAAATCCCTGTATGAAGGTAGCCCTCTTTCAGACAAAATTAAAAAGATGCAAAGCTTTCCATCTACTTTCTACTTTTACACATAATGGAATATCAGGGGACAATAAATTCCCAAACATAGCTTGCAGGGAAATTTTAAGATTCCACGTATCAAACACCTGTATCCCAGGTGTCAGAGGAGCACAGAGGTTTTATAACACAGCAGAATGCATGCCAAACTCTGCTCTGAGGCAAGCTCCCCCTTCACTCTCTGTCCTAGCAAAGCACTGCAAGCTCTGGAATTCTTTGCTAAGGCCTTGTGCCTGTGGGGGAATTTATCCCAAAAGGCATGACCGGTACAGAGAAGCACCAAGACCAGCACAAGACAAGATTTCAGTTGGTCAAAGAAGCTTTGCTCTGCGTTCCCAAGCAGATTTGGTCCTTTTTTTTAATTAAAACAAAAGAAAAAACAATAGAAAACAAAGCCAGACTATTCAGGATATCTCAGAAGGAGAGAAATGGCTAAGTGTCCTAGTTCTGATGTTTCAGACACAAGGGAAAAATATTTTCACAACTAGTTTACTGTTTAGTACCCTGTAGATACATAGTATTTGACATTTATAGGAGTTTCTATACTTTATGACCTAGAATATACTTTAGATCATGAATGAAAAATAAACCCATTCAGAGGACTGGAAAATAACGCGCATTAACAATTTACTTTCAAATGCAAGGTTATGAAGGGTTTTTTTAAACTTCCAAAAATATCTCTAGGAAAATATTATTTTACATAGCTATATTACACAGTGAAATAAACTTTGTTATGTACAAGGTTTCAGTATGAAAGAAACCACAGCTAGACATTTGCTCATGGTCTAGATAATCTGTTGTCTCGTACAAGTCAGAAGTACAACAGAGAGACTCTGCTTCACTCTTTGTCAGACCATCTCAGTGAACATTTCAGCTTTTAGTAGTTACTAGTAGTTGTATAAAACCTGTGCACAGACATTCATATATTAACCCTATCACAGTTAGATATGGGTAGATATACTTTCAAAACAAGGTTAGACATCTGCTCAACAACCACAGTAACCTGAGTATAACTCAATTGCATATTGGTGAAAAAAACAACAGTGTAGGCACCCGAGCTATAGCATTCTAAGGGAGCTTGGTGTTAAACTCTCCCCTGGATTTGAGTGTTTCATGGGCCAAATCCTAGCTTGTATATTTTGGGCAGAAAACATGACACCACAATCCACTTGGCTCAAATTGGCGAAGTTGCTTCATATAAACTAATCAAAAGCTTGAATCTACCTATTCTTAAATAACAAACTTTGCTCCTGTCACAGGGGCGGAAAGGACATGGAGTACTTTGCTATTTGTGGTATAACTGTAAACAACTTCAGGGAAGACCATATTGGTTTTGCTTCAAGTTTACATCACACTGTTAGTCTCTATTATTTAAGTGTACTGAAGCTTATCTTCAAGCTCACATGATCATATTGGGTTTTAAGGGGAAGGAATTTTGAATTAGAAACTGCCCCCAAATTCAGTACTTGTTTACACACCCCAGATCCTAGGACAAAGATCTGACAGTGCTGCCTGTGTGGGAGATCAGTTCAACAGCTGAATAAAAGTTCAGGGAATATTCAGGGCAAGCAGCACTGCATTCCCCCTTCCTGAGGGACTTGCACAACTTTGGAGGCATGGCCTCTCTTCTAATGCTATAGCTCAGCTGCATACCAGAGAAATTAGCAAAAAAAAACCCAGGAAACGTGAGATCCCTAGTGAAGAGGAAACTGCTTTGGAACACCCAAACCCCCCTGCCTGTAATGTCTTCCAGCCTGTGCTCCCTTCCCTCACCTTACATCACAGCCGTGTTCACTGTGGTGCAGAACCTGTGGCACACTCACAGCCAGAAATGCCCAGCCAAGAGGTCACCTCACCCTCTTTGGGGACAGCTTACTCAAGACATACTCTTACACATAAGCAACCTGCTTCTACTGCCTCTGTGTGTATCACAGGCAGAATCAGGAGCTCTGCCATTTGCATTAGAAGTCAAGGCAGCCTGTAAGGAGCCCTGACCACAGCTCAGCTCACATCTGCCTGTAGGAGTCCCAACACACACCGGTGAGCAGAGTGTAACTGGGTGGCAAACTTCCTTCTCTGCGACTTGTCAGCAATAAATACATCTACTGTCCCCAAAGCCACATGCTGATGGCAAAGGAGAAGGTCCCCCAGCTCACCTGCAACCAAGTACCAATTAAGAAGGTACCAGGCACATCAAACCCATTTCATTAAACTCAGTGGAGATTTCTGCCTTACACCTTCTGGGGAACTGGTTACCGAACCCACGAAGCCTGGAACCAGGCGAGAAGCAGCTCCTTGCAATACCAACAGAAGCCACAGCTAAAGAGAGACAGTAGCAGAGAAGGGAAAACAACATCCTCATGCTCAGAGCTACATGGTCATGTCCTGGAAGTTGCTGGCTACTTCCTAATGGTATTAAATACTATTAACTTGTAATGATAAGTAGACGTCAAAGGCATTTAGCATCTTGTAGGGTCAGGCCTATTGGCAGATGGTTGAGGAAAAGGCTATGTGCGAACACGGCAGACAGGAAGGGGAAGAAGTGAGAGAGGAGAGGGGTAGAATTGCCCTGAGTTTTATCCTTTACAAATAAGTCAGGGGTTTTATCATCAAGCACTGAAGGAGTTAAGCACTAAAGCACAGACACTTAATCAGCTTTCCCCCTTCCTTTCACATGTGATTGGAATGAAGCTGCACCGAAGCAGCCCAAAGGGCTTATAACAGCTCAATTTCGCAGCCTTCAGTTTTAATCCCCATCACCCAGGCTAAGCAGAATGGTGGTGCTGAGGCTGCTACTCCACAGCGGTCTGAGAACCTGGATGATGATGGTCTTCCTCCTCCTCTTCGTCCTCCTCGGCAGCCTGCAGGTGGCTGGAGAGCTCCTGGATCACAGCAGCCCTACCAATCTGGTCATTTCTCCTCTTCTCCATGATCAGATCCTCCAGGCTCTGAAACTCCAGCGTGTGGCTGCGCTTGTCACCCAGCCGGATCTGCAATCGGTAGGGCTGCTTGCCTATGCGCAGCTCCCCGCCGATTTTAAACTCTCGCTTGCCGTATCGGCACCAGGCAGCAAAACACTCAGAGTTTCTCCAGCTCAAGTCCCGATCCTTGCAACCCACCTGCTCCAGGGCATTGCGCACCACCGCGGCCGGGCTGAGGGCTTTGTAGCGGTACAGCTGGTTGGCAATGCGGCCCCGTCTGCCCTGGCTGGCGTCGGTGAGGAAGCTGTTCACCACCTCCAGCCGATGCAGGTGCACAACTTGAAAATCCCCGACATAAACCACCCAGTGCGGGTACTGGGCTTGGCACACAAACTCCACCAGGTCACCCGGCTTACACCTATTCAACAGGTTCTCCGGGGTGTAGGTGCTCAGATGCCCCCCACCTCCTTCATCACCCTCCTCTAGCTGCGCGTCCTCCTCTGAGAAGCTCTTCTGGTAAATACACTCATCCCGGTAATAGACTGAGCACTCCACCTCGTGCAGCTGGGGATCGTAGGGCTGCAGGGCAGGGTTCTCACCCCCCAGGTCATGCACGGAATCCTGCTGCTGCTCCAGCTCATCATCGTCATTCGAAAAGATGTAGGAGACCCCGATCCTGGGCCCTTCATCTCTGTCCATACCTGTCGGGTCGGCCGTGGGAACTTCCTTGTAGTTGAGATGGGTCAGCTTCTCCACCTGGTTCCCCATGCCCGCTGCAACGACAGACACCCGGCGGGGCCATGAGGGTGAGCGGCTCCCAGCGAAGCAGCGCGGGCGTAACTCGGCTCCCCGGCTCTCCCCGCTCAGCGCAGTCTCCAGCAGCGCCCCGGGGCTGCGGGAGCCCGTCGGGGACGGGGGGAAGGGGGAACGCGACACTTCCCTACCTGTACGGAGGAAGGCTCGCCGGCACCACCACCTGTTAGGCGGCGGCGAGGAGAAGGAGAGAGGAACGGGAGCCGCCGGGGAGCGGGCAGGCACCGAGCCACCTGTTAGAGAGGGGCTGCGGGCGCCTGGGGCGGTGGGGAGGTCCGAGCTGGGGACGGCAGAGAGCGCACCCCCC